GCCTCGGCACCGCCTGCCCCTTCCCAGAGCGAGCGAGGGAACGGTGCTCTCCGCCAGCGCGATAAATGCTGTTGATGAGGATGGACCTGTTGAACTACCAGTACTTGGACAAGATGAACAACAATATCGGCATCCTGTGCTACGAAGGTAATGGTGCCCTCGCTCGGGAAATCGCTGCTACCGGATCCCTTCGCCCAGCGCTGCTCGCCCGCGGGACTGTTCGCCCTGGGTCGGCGCTGGCCGAGTGGGACACCCCGCGGGTAGTTGTCAGAGCTTTGTTTCAGGGCAGGAATTTCTTTTCGTTTGATTTTCCTGGTCTTTTTTTTTGTTTTGGTAAGGTGTGCTTTCAGCGCCGAGTTCACTTTCCCTTGCAGATGGCATTCCTCAGAGTAGGGGGAAGGCGTCTGAGGTAACAGGGCAAAATCAGTTTCTTCATCTAGTGGAGTTTTACCTACGTGCGGCTCGAAGAAGTGGTTATGGCTTGGCTTTGCCTGGAAAGAAAGGCACCACTGAGCTAATTCAGCTTGGCACTGGAACTGTTTTTGCTGTAGCCACACACAAGCACTGCAAACAGATGGCATTCCTCAGAGTAGGGGGAAGGCGTCTGAGGTAACAGGGCAAAATCAGTTTCTTCATCTAGTGGAGTTTTACCTACGTGCGGCTCGAAGAAGTGGTTATGGCTTGGCTTTGCCTGGAAAGAAAGGCACCACTGAGCTAATTCAGCTTGGCACTGGAACTGTTTTTGCTGTAGCCACACACAAGCACTGCAAAAATCTTTTTTTTTTTTTTTTCTGATTCAGCATTTTTTTTCCGTGTTCATTTGGAAACTAAACGTGCTGTAGTTGTCAGGAAAGAAACAATAAGTAGTACATACAGGCCAAGGAGCTATCTGTTCATACACTCCAGGAAAAGACCAGGCCAGAACACAGGGAGCTGAATCTGACTTTGGAAAGTACAGTCTTTTCTATCACTAAACCAGCATGGCCACATTTCTTCCCTTCAGGAAGTGGAGGGGCTCCCTGCTCAACTGTTAATGTCTCTGTTTCTTTTCTTGTGTTTCTTTCTTTCTTTCCTGCACAAATATGTATATATTCCTTTGAATCACTCTTTTACGGAAGTTTGAGCTGAATAATAGAGCTGAGGTTCCATGGAGTCGATTTTCCAAGTTCTTTCTTATCCTCTGCTTTCTTCATCAGAGCAAGAAAACTAGTTTAAAAGAAAAATAAAAGGAAACCCAATTTGCAGGATCCTCTAACTTTTTCACTGCACTCTGCAGTAACAAGTGTTTTCTTTGGAAGCAATTGGTAACTTCTGATGAAGGCCATAGAATTTTATGCAAAACTTTATTTACCTAGTACATGTTTCTGTGCTTTGTTGACTAAGTTTCATTGACCTGTAGTTTTGGCTCATTAGTTTAACTCATTGTAATTATGCCTGATATTTATGGAAGATTCTTTCCAGTCCCCATTTTCCCCACCCTCTTCTCCAGTAATTGTTATTTAACCAGATCTGAGCTTAAATAGTTCAAAAGCAGCTTAAGGAATACACTCTACTGGACCAGTTCTTGTTTAGTTTAAACATCTGTTGCTATTTTCCTTATTCTGGAAGTTAACATTTTTAACACTAAAATAAACACACACAAAATGAAGAAAAGAAAAGCAAAACTTCAGTGGTGTTTATAGTGAGGTGTTTATATCCCAATGGTTTTAAAAGTATAAACACTGGTAACATCTGCACTGTACTCAAAGGGTGTTTTAGAGATGCCTACAGATCTTCCAGGCCTCTGCCATACTATTTATTTTATAAGTGAGTTGTGTCAGCAGTGATGGATCTTGTCTTTTCAAAGACTGCTGTGGTAGGAACTATATTGACAACAAAGTGTCCTTTCAAACTCAATTAATTAGGATTTTTTGTAGGCTACCCTTGAACTACTTAAAAATACTTATAAATAGATGCCTTCCTGAAAAGTACTTTTGAAGATGTAGGGTAAGATTCAAATATGTTGTGTGATGGTAAAATAGCTTTGAAATTTCAGAGGCAAGAATGATGGGCTTATCTGCCATAGGAACTAAATGAGATGGGTTCCTTGTTCCCTGAGATTCTCTCTTGAAGCACTTGCTTTTGCTTGTGGAGGTAACTGGTATGCTGGTGAAACGTGTCATTATCATTTTATGATGTTTACTAGCGGTTTTAATCTTTCACCTCTGGCACAAGCTACTGGAACTGTGTGCCACTGATTTGTAGCTGCAGCTTATGGATAAGAGATGTATTGTTACATAGGAAACAGGCAAAATTCTTCCACTGTACGCATTTGGCAGCCCTGTAGCTCAACATGAAGTAGAAGAGTATAATTTGCATCCCAAGACAAGTCCTGCTTTTTCTTACCCAGCAAGAGTTACAGATAGCAATTTGTTATCTGTAAGCTCCAGGCTACTGAGTTAATTCCAGCCCTTGGATAGTCTTCCTTGGTTGGTAGGTGCAAGAACCTCAGCTATGTCTTCATCTCATACTGTGCCTAACTCATGTCATTCATGATCACACTCCAGCGAGTATGGAAACATTGTCAAAGTGCTGTTTAGTTCATAAAACAGATTTCTGATTTTGGCTTACTCTGTGGAGGTCTGGGGGAAGAGACTAAATGGTGACTAACATAGATCAGAATCACCATCCCCAGAAGTGTTTAAGAGGCCACTGGATCTGCCACTGGAAGATACGGTTTAGAGTTTACAGTGGAGTGACAGGTTAACGGTTGGACTTGATGATCTTGGAGGTCTCCTCCAACCTTGATGATTCTATGGGATCTGCTTTATGGACAGAAAAGTGTCCTGTTGCTGAGGCTGGGAGAGAAATGGAGATCTCAAAGCTCTCTCATTACCTTTAAGAAGTATCAGTGTGTTGCAGACTTAACTTTGTAGGTGGAACCTGACCTGAGGTTGGCTGTTTTCTCAAACAGAATTCTGTTTTATTTTTCACTGTGAGGTTGTATAATACTACCACAGGTTGCCCTGAGAGGGTGTGGAGTCTGTGTCTTTGGAGATACTCAAAACCCATCTGGACCATGGCCTTGAGCAACCTGCTCTAGTTGAGCCTGGTTTTGAGCAGGAGACTTGGGCTTGATGATCGCTAGAGGTGCCTGTCTAGCCTCAACACTTGGAAAGTTTTGCACACTCTTGTAATTAAAACAGCCACAGCCAGGAAAAGGATTATAAGCAGAGATAAAGTGAGAGGGTTTTTGAAAGGGGGTCCATAACTTCAAACCACAGAATAAAGCCATTTTCTTTTCTCAGGGTTTGTTTTATACTGATAATTTGTGCCCTTTTGAGTGTTTTATTAATCTTATTACCAGCTTTGAGCACCTTGTGAAGTTCCATGATACTCTCAACTCCTATTAGTGCTTTTGGAGGAAAATCTGAATTTTTAATGACATAGTGGTTTGGGTTTTTTTAACAAGTTACATAAAATAGAACATTTGAGTTTTACTTCCCTCTCCAGTGAAAGAAAATTTTTAAATTATTCAAATGGGAATGTTTAGTCTTCACCAGTGGGAAAATGACTGTTATATTAGCAATGATGAACCATTTCAAGCAATTTATTGTAATATATTTGGTGCAATAGGAAAGAAAAGAAGAAATAATTAGAGAATTGTTGACTCGGCATCTGGATGCTGATTTTTAGCACGAATACATTTGATATTCTCCTACTCAACATTTGCTGCCAGTTATCAACAATGGCCAGTTTAATGAGTAGTGCTTTCATATCATTGTGTTCTTCCTAATGAGCTCAGAGACATCAGAAAGCTCTTGGGTGACTGCTGTCCTTGCTGAGGTGCAAAGGCCACGGAGCAGAACCATTCTGTACCACTCTGGCATTCCCAGTGCTTCGTATCAAATGACAAGCACTTGATCTGGGCATGTATTCAGAGGTAGAACATCTGCATCTTGTTTTGCAATGGAAACTCACTTAACTTTAGCTTAATATTCTTTCTCAGAGAGCCTTGTGTGTGAGGTAATGGAGTGCTCAGAGTTAAACAAAACAAATCACAGGTGATCCTGCTCTTTGACTCGTGCAGGGGCCAGCCAGCAAGTTCTGGCTCCTCGTTTCCAATAGAATATGTATGAGAAGGTGCAGTCTCCAAGCAGATTTATTTCATTCTGTTGTTTATCTGAGAGAGTGTACAGATGGTTGTGTGTTGGAAGGCAGATTTCTGTCTTCCTTCCTCTCTCTCCCAATTTCAAATGCTTTGGGTTATTACTACATTCTCAGGGCTGGAACTGCTGTGCTGGGAAAGGTATAAAGAAATGCAATAAGATGCTAAGAAATCCCCCAGGCATGTTACGAGACTTGGAGCACTCCAAATAGTTATACAGAGTTCTCTGGACAGTGCAGAAGACTGGATTTTTTTAATGAAGCAAATTGGATCCAGATCTCTAGAAAAATACCCCTTTTTGGTTTCAGGACAGCTTACATTAGTTAGTGGCACATTACATAATTATTTCACTGACTTCCTGTAACAGTGAAGCGTTAGTTGGCCACAGCACTGAGCTTGCATAGCTGTGTGTCTTCTCAGGGTACTGCAAGGCATTCTGAATATGTGTCTGTCTTCCCCAAAAGGCCAATTCAGATGTTTGCATCAGACAAGGAGTCTGACACAGATTCTGCTAACTTCATTTGCTTTTTAATGAAATGTGTTTTCTTAAGTTCTGAAGAATAGTTTCCATCAGCTCTCTTTGCTGACCTTGCGTTTTAGTCTGGGTTTGTAACATCAGTTCCTCCTATTAACTCCAAAGTTTGGTTTAGTTTCTAAATATATAAAATGACTTTAACACTATTCTTCTATTGGGAATGGAATAAAAATCTCCTTCACGGTGAATTAAGTGTTCTTACTTGTAATACAGTGTAAAGTTTCTGTTCAAAGCCGTGTAAATTAAGATACACCCACAGAATATTCCCCATTTATAGAACATTCTGTGGGGTTTGCTTTTTCAGTGTCTTTTATCTTCAGGGAAAACCAAAGAGCTCCAGGTTCACAGTTGGGCTTTTCTTAGTCATTTCCTCCTAGCATGAAGTTGAGAATATCCTCTTCAGTAGTGACATCAAAATTCAGTTTATTTTTCTTGTTCTTCAAAGGCAAGATAGATTTAGGTCAT